ATAGGATGGGACTATGCAAGTAAGGTGCTTGTGGTTCACCAAGGGGATTGGACAGCTTGCTACTAATGCAAATAAGATGCATGGAACCCTTGTTGTGTGTGGACCATGCGAATAAGGTAGATGGAACCTTAACAAAGGGATTAGTCAGTTTTATCATCTCACTAGGCTTAAAGGGAGATACGGAGAGAGAGAGGGAGGAGCTGTAACATGGAAGACAGTGAGAGACCGTGGCGTAGTGGTGCAAGATGGCTGCCGTGGGGCTCGCCAACCCACAGAGCTAAGAGCTGTAACACTTGCCTGAGAAGGCTCCTAGCACAGCCCAGTAGCAAAGGGTGAGAAGAAGCTGTCCTGATCAAGAACTATATCCTGAATTGTTCCTGTCACTTCTGAGTCATTCCTGATCCCCAGTCATGCCCTGTTACTCTCCTAATAAACCACTTAATTGTAAGTATGGTTCATGAGTTCTGTGAGACGTTGCATCGAATTATGGAACCCAAAGGCCAGAGAGAGAGTATTGGGAAGGGGTAGGGGAGTAGCTGATGTTAGAGATGGTGGAGTGGTACAGCAGTTTGGAAAAGTTGGACATTTGGAACATCTTTAACCCCCACCTCATAGGAACCAGCTTTGTGCTGATCCTTATAAAAGAAAGTATTCACTTAGGATCATTTGAGTTCGACATTTACTCCAAAAGGCAAGTCTACTACAGTGTACAAAAATATAGATGTGCAAATAAACAGGCATTTCAGGAAGCTACGAATCACTTGGCTATAATTTCTTAAGCTTGTTTAAGATCCTCTGTCTTGGGTTGCGTTTCCTGAAAGCAGACCCTGGGACAGGATTTGCATGCAAATCAATTATTTCCTCTTCAGGGAGGAAAAAAAAAAAAAAATAGAGGAGAGAGTTAAGCAGGATTGAAAAGAGGAATGCAGTGACCAAGGGTGTAGTCTCAGGTGAAGACTAGCCATGGCCTGAATTGCAGGGATCCCCTGCAGAGTTATCCCTGTTGAGGTAAGAGAGCCGGCCTTTTGCAGCACCTGAGCAGTCAGTCATCGAGGGAGGTTCATAACTTCCCCTGGCAAGGCAGCTCCCATCAAATTTGAAGAAATGCGTGCAGTGAACAGTCACCGCACTTGGGGGGTTCTCGGCAAGGCACATTAACAACATCCTCCATTAGTAAGATTTCTACCAAAATGTTGACAGCGTAAGAAGATATAATCATGTTGCGATGCATTTGAAAAAGATGAGACAAAAGAAGTGAGCTTTGCAATGATATCCTTTGCCCTTTTTATATTTTCTGTTTTCTAAAATTTATTATGATTGGAAATTAGAAGAGAATCAATCCACAGGTTAACATCTACTGAGCACGTATCACGTAACTTACATTGTGCTAAGTACTGTTAAGAATAAAAAGAGCTGTGGAAAACAGTTTGGTAGTTCCTCAAAAAGTTAAACAAAAGATTAACATATGACCGAGAAATTCCACTTCTATATCTAAGAGACTTGACATATACCCAAGAGACTTTAAAGCAGGGACTCAGACACTTGTACACCAATGCTCTTTGAGCATTATTCACAGTAGCCAAAAGGTGGAAACAACCCAAGTGTTCATCAACAGACGAATGGCTAAACAAAATGTGGTGTATCCATACAATGGAATGCTCTTCCGTCTTAAAAAGAAATGACATTCTGATACATGCTATGACACAAATGAACCTTGAAAACGTTATTGTGAGTGAAATAAGTCAGACACAGAAAGACAGATATTGTCTGATTCCGCTTATATGAAATATCTAGAAGAGGCAAATGCATAGGAACCAAAGTTTCTTAGTGGTTCCCAAGGACTGGGGGTAGGAAGGAATGAGAGTTATTGTGAAGGAGTACTGAGTTTCTGTCTGGGGTGATGAAAAACTTTTGGAAACAGGTAGTGGTGATGAAGATACAACATGGTGAATGGAATTAATATCACTGAAATGTACTCTTAAAAAAGGTTAAATGGCTATTTATTGCTATAAAAACAAAAAAATCCATTGCTGTTGAGTCAATTCCAACTCATAGCGACCCTATAGGACAGAGTAGAACTGCCCCCATAGGGTTTCCAAGGAGCAGCTGGTGGATTTGAACTGCCCACCTTTTGGTTAGCAGCTGAGCTCTTAACCACTGCACCACCAGGGCTCCATTTATAGTTTTATGTATATGTATTTTTTTCCCCTACAATACATTTTTTTTTAAGCATAAAAAGAAATGCAAGATGAAGACTCTGCCCCAGGTCAGCAGGAATTTCAAGGAGAAAAAAGATTTATATATGTGAAAAAAATGATCAGATGTAATAGCCTTAAACCAGGTACATCGTACGGACGGATTTCAGAGGAGGGTCCTAGAATTAAGTTCCAGTAAAACGCTTTTTCTATGAGCTTGAGTAATGGTGCTTGGTATCTTCACTCACTTACTGAGTGGGGTTTGAAATATTTTCCACCAACCCTAAGGGAGGCTGAAGGAGATAACAATGGTAAATTGTTCTAAACAGCATAAAAGCAAGGACCAAAAGAAATACCAGCTACACTGTGTTGCTGCTCAGCTGATTCCATTATGCAGAGATGGCAAGGGAAAGCCACAGTCATTTGCCTACACATTCATCTCCTTGGTGCAAGTGGGTATTGTTCTGTACCCTGTGGCAGGATTAGAAACACCGCTGGGAAACCAGTACACAGAGTCGTTACGGAAACCAGAATGCTTTGGCTCAGTTATTTACAGAGAACTTTCAGGATTACCACATTCAATAAAATCAAGTCTGTTTTGCTTCACCCTGTACCCGTGCATCCCAATCAAATATCTATTCGGAAAGGTCCTTCAATCAGCCGTACTTGACCAAATACGGACTCAAGAATCAGTCAGTGGGGGTCCCATCGCAGAAGTGTAATTTATGTGTGGCCTTCTTGTGCTACGTGTTTGAAGCTTGTTCACGCTTGCCTCAACCGGTGTCAAGTTTGCTGGTTTCCGTAATATAGGAACAAGCTGGCTGTTGACTCCTGCCTTCAAACAGAGAAACGTTTGCCGAGACATAGCTGCTGTCCGCGTTGCCTGATGCTGTGATACTGCTGGACTTGTTGCCTCGTATTCTCTCATCTCACCTTTGGCAGTGACAGTGACGGCGTCTCTGGCTGTCATTTTTGTCCTTGAATTGGAATATTTCTAACTATCCATCAGCATCTTTGAAAAAAGAACTTTTTGAGAAGGCAGTTACACCATGAGGATTTTCATAGCCTTTGAGGGATCTTTTGAGCCGTTCGATGTTTCAGCAGATGAAACTGTGGAGGCTGTCAAGCTGATGATAAAGGTATGTACTTCGTCTCTGAACCAGTGAGATGTGTATTAATTTTAACTATGCAGCAAAGTTAAAAATGTACATAGGGTAGAGATACTATTGGATCTATTATTATGAGTTGAAAATTGACTTGACGGCACCTAACAACAACAGGGAACTAAAACTCTTTGAAAATATCATTATCTGCTTCCATGATAGCTTGATATGAAGATAGTAACATTGGAGGGTTGGACAGGAAGCAAGCCAAGCCAGTAAATTCTCAGGGAAAAAAAAAAAAGTTTCAGTTCTCTTTGGGAAAATTGTGGGTTGTGCATGGGCCAGGTAGTATTACTGCAATTCTTCATAAAAGGACTAAAACAGGACACTAACTCTAGGCTATAAAGTGGAGTATGTCTGTCTTCAGATCTATGCCTCGCTTGCTGAGCAAGCAATTATAAAGAGTGGCAGAGGACTTTAGAGAGTTTCTAGGCCACTTCTTTGTTGCATCAGGAGAAACTGAAGCCCATAGAGGCTGACCATTATACCTAGATCACAGAATCAGAATAAGAAACAATCTGAGGGCAGACACTGTTGGACAGTTCTACTCTGTCCTATAGGGTTGCTATGAGTTGTAATTGACTCAATGGCAACGTTTTTTTTTATTTTTTATCTTCCTTATAAATGCCTTATAAATATTCACTCTAACACGGGGAATTAGACAAATATTTGGGTCTTGACCACAAAATGGAAACCCGGGTGGCGTAGTGGTTAAGAGCTATGGCTGCTAACCAAAAGGTCGGCAGTTGGAATCCACCAGGCACTCCTTGGAAACCTTATGGGGCAGCTCTACTCTGTACTATAGGGACGCTTTGAGTCGGAATCAACTCGACGGCAGTGGGTTTTGGGTTTTTTAAACCACAAAATTGCGTTTCAGGTGGAGGTAGTCATTTCTATTTGCCAAGGAGCACTCATTGAAGCACAGTTACATGATACTCAGTGGGTTGCTGTGATCCCTGAAATCTAGACCTTCTAACAGAGGGCATCTTCATCTTCACGTGCCACGGATACCTTTGTCAATCCAGTGAAGCCTATGGGCTCCTTCTAAGAATGTCTTTAAATGCACAAAGTAAAATATGGAGGATGAAAAACAAACCAGTTATATTGAAATACAATTTTCAAATATTAAAAAAAAAATGTGTCACTTAGTGACACCTGGGCTTCTTTATTAACACATTAACTAACAAGTTCTAGCAGTGCATCTAATAACTCGTAATTGCAAAGCAGTGATCAGTATACACAATATTTTGAGATGTCTGCAGCAGCTGTAATATGATATGAAAATATCTGTGATTTCTTTTGGTGACAGAGTCACAGGCATGACCGAAGACTGCTACTTTGGTTTGTCACCTGCGTGTATAATTGAAAGAAAATCTCGATTTCATTTAGAGTTAATAAAAATAAAAATGTAAGTTTTCCCCATCTCAATTCTATCCTTCGAATTTTGCGGAGGTCTCTATATTTCCAAGTTAAGAGCCCTTCTCTAACACTTCTTCCCTCTGTCTCAAAAAATTATGCTCAGTGAAAGACAAAGGATTTTATCATTGGTCTAGTAATGTTAGAAACCCATTGTCGTCAAGCCTATTCCGACTCATAGTGACCCTATAGGACAGAGTAGAACTGCCTCATATGGTTTCCAAGGAGTGCCTGGTGGATTTGAACTGCCGACCGACTGGTTAGCAGCCGAGCTCTTAACCGCTGTGCCACCAGGGCTCCCTCCAGTGTAGTGATGGTAGAGATGTAGTATTTTCATAATATGGTATTTTGATTTTTAAGGATTATTTCCACATTCCTCTCTCTGAAGATGAGCAAGGAAGGCGGTATCTGGAGTTGATGTATGCTGGAGCAGCCCTAAAAGACAGCTGGAGTATTGCTGATGTTGGGATATCTTTTTGTTCCACTCTCAAATGCTTTGTTAAGGTATGATGATCAGAATAGCATTTGTCCAAGTTGTCTACCTCATTTTGAACAAAGTTTCAGATAACTCAACGAAAGTAATTTCGTTATTTAGAAAGGGGTTTTTCCTTCTTCCCTTCTGTCTTCCACTGGTGTGCCGGCTCCTATGCAAGATCTATGCTGCAGGGGGAAGTAAGTAAGGAGTGGAGACTGGATCGGGTTCCCCTCTTTTTCCTCTTCTCCTCCCTCCTTCCTCTCACCCTCTAGCTGCCTGCTTCCAGTCATCACAGAAGCTTCCAGTCATCACAGAGCTTATCGCAAGCCAATACTGGAACAAAGCCAGCGGGCAGATCTAGAGCGTTGATATGGGAGAAAAAGGATTAGGTTACTCTCATGGGCCCACAATGATTAGGGGCGGTGGAGTGAGGAAGGGGAAGAAATTCTCAGTAACAATAAGAATGTAAAGACAGTTTCTGCATCCAAAGCCTGCCAGAGTAACAATTCATGCAGTAGGTGTACATACAATGCTGTTGTTGGTAGGTGTGGTGTAGGCAGTTCCAACTCACAGCAACCCCACAGGGCAGAGTAGAACTGACCTACAGGGTTTCCAAGGAGTGGCTGGTGGATTCAAACTGCCCACCTTTTGGTTAGCAGCTGAGCTCTTAACCACTACGCCACCAGGGCTCCATACATACAATGGAGAAGCCTTTTCCGCTTATAAGACAGTAAAGTCAGTTGCCATAGATTTGACTCCAATTTGTCGCAGCGGCGACGGTAATCGGGACG